TATACCCTGGGAGATTCTAGGGAGTGGCTATCCTGAACCTCTTTTGCTTTCCACACTCCCCCTGCAGACTGTGTGGTCTTTTGTCTCCTTTCCCTTCCTGGAATGCAGCCCCTCATTCCTGATAGCCCTGATCTCTGTTGCTATCTACCACATGACCCTCCTCTGTGTACATACATTCCATCACACATGTAGAAACTAGACTAGAAAGCATTTTTTTTTTGGTAAACTTTTTCAACACTTTTGATTTTAACTATATTGACTTTTTTTATACTTCTTTTTTTTAATTGTTGTAAATAGAAAGGCAAGGCATTCATTAGTAATAGTAAATTTAAAAAAATAAAGTAAATAATAACGTATACACTTTAGGAACATAGTTTTGAACTGAATAACTTTCTGAACACAAAATGATTCCAAGCAATGTTGCTTATTACTGCAGAAGGTATGTGTTCTTACCTTTTCCTATGTGCCTTCTGGTGTTTTCTATAGTAGAGTTCCTGTTAACATTGGACAGCAATCCAAGGCAGAACCTGTTCTTATTGTTTGAAGGATCTGTAAAGCCATCTATTAGTATACTTCGAGAAGAGGCCTGAAAAGTCTCTCCTACCCGGTTATTGAGTTCATAGTATGCAACTGAACACCAGTGCTGTGGTTCCTCATAGCAAACAGGTCGGAAGTCTGGAAGAAGAGTTCATGGGTGAAGAAGATGCAACCGGAATGTAGAAAGAAACACAATAATAACAATGTGACCAGTTACATATCCAAACTTCAAATAAACTCTTCATATATACATGCATACAGCAGGCATTGACAGAAATAGTGCAATGAAATGCTAACTCAGTTGTGTTATTTCCAAAAAAAAGGTGAACTTCATTATAGTAATCATTAGGAAAAGGACTGAAAATACATTTTTAATATAATAGTGTCCCTACTTAAATCTATGGTGTGTCTAAACTCAGAATACTGTGTACTGTACTGTTCTCATCTAAAAGGGCGTTACTGAACTTGGAAAGATGCAGGAAAGAATGAAGCTATTGTGGCCTTGCATATTTATTCTTCAAGGAAAGATGACAGCTTTAAGCTTTTTAGCTTAAAAATAAAGCAAGCAAGGGGAAAACATGACTGCGTTATATAAAATCATACGTGGTGTGGAAAAGTGTGGATAATTTTTCGTCCTTTCAGCATACTAGAAACTCTGGGCCATATTCTGAAAGTGAATGCAGGGATATTCAGGAATGAATGACAGATGTATTTCTTTATACAAGGCATAATTAAACTATGGAATTGGTTGTTATCGAATCAAGCAGTAGTCTAGCATGCACAAATCTGGGTAACATTCAAGGCAAAAAAAATAGATGGTTTTAAAAGGTGACTAGACAAGTGCATGGAGAAGACTGCTACAATGTTTATAGTCTTGATAGCTGCTTACTAGCTACAGAACCAATTAGGATGATTCTTGACTTGATCCAACAGGAGTCTTAATACCATTTTTCAGGAGGCAGCTCTCTATCAACTTATTTTCTTTGTTTTCATATTGTGTGTATTCTAATCACTGCGCACCACATGGAAGCAGCTAAAAATGTTATCTTGTAGTGTCTAGTAGGGTGCACTGGAGAAATGTAATAAAGTCTGATTTTTAATACAGGCTTAATGTGCATTTCCAAAATTTATATACAAGCCAAAACACAGTTATACCACACAATACCTGCAGTATTCTGAATTGTGATACAGCTCAATTAATATGTATAAAGGAGAAAAACAGATGGAGGGAATGTTTGTAAAAGGTTTTTTGTTAGGGAAAGTACATGTAAACATCTGCATATTAGCAGAATGCATGCAAGTGGATATAAATTTGGCAGGCAATTTTTTAAAACACTTACAAAAGAGGGCAGAAACAGGGCAGGACAATCTTAAGTTGGAAAAAATGGGAAACTATACAAATCAAATTTTACATAGTCACCTATCTCTGGTGCCTTTAACTACGTAAGAAGTGATGAACTGTAGAGTAAACCTGCTCCAGCTGTTTAGAGTCAGAATGGATTGGACAAAAGTTGCATAAATAAAAAAATAAAATAAACCCAGGCATGTCCAGTCTTCCTTAAACTGCTCTTTGCCATGACAGAGGGAGCAGTGCTGAACATCTAAAAAGCCTACAAATCATCTTCTATGTAACTACTATGAAGCTCTCAGTCATTCTTTATTAATTTTGCATTTAGCTCATTTGTGAAGAAGTGGATTTGATTCCTCTGCACATACAAAACTGGTATTACTTTTATCTTCTAACTGGTGATAAGATGCACAAGCTTCTTACACACAGTCCATCTGATGAAGTGGCCTATGAGCCCAAAGCCTTATATTATGCAATAATACATTTGCAAATAAATTAACAGGGCTTTTCCTCTGCAAGGGACATATACTATACATACAACATTAGAGTCTCTCTCCCACACTGAAAAGCAGGTGCGTGCATGGCACCGTACGGTTACTTGCTGTTGCATGTTGTCAACACAAAGTCAATAAACAGAGTTAGCACCTGCACATCTCTTTTTCAGACATGAAAATGTGATAATGCTGAAAAGTGAGTTTACTTTAATCTGCTTTCTCATATCTGTTTCTGAACTATGTGTATCACCATAATTATTTCCAGAAAATCTGGATATTAAGTATTGTGGACAGGTTTGATCACCATATCTTATCAGAAAATGACAGCTACTATAAATAATTTAATTAAATTCAAGCAGCCTTATCCAAAGAATGAAAAGACTTAATCAGGGAAATTTTAGATGGGGGAGAAGGATAAAACAAACAAACAAACAAACAAACAAAAAAAACAAAAGCAAAAGCAAATGGATACAGGAAGAATGGCAGCAAAATTATTTTAAGCTTTGACTCGCTTAACTCCTATTGAATTCAGTCGATCCACTATAAATGAGAACATGGGCCCAATCCAATAAACTTAACTGAAAGAAAATAAAGGAATTTTTCACATACTAATTTGCAAAATTTCCTGCCATAGAATGTTGTATAGTTTGCTTAAGTAGCTTTGGAGCTGTGCTAAGAAATGAAAAACTGTTTGAAAATATGGGATAATTCAACAGCATCATATATTTTATTTTAAAAAGAAATATCCCTTGGGTTCATGCTTACAGTAGTTCATGAAATTCTTGCCAATATATCAAGGATGGACAACCTGCACTGTGTTGTATGTTCACCCAACTCCAGCCTATTTTGGCAGTTGCTACTGCCCTGCAAAACTGTTTTGCCAAATTTGGTGGCAAAATAACAAAATTCACAGGTGGAAAAATACTCTGCCTCAACTTGATGATTTTTTTTAAAAAATCGTTACTCAGTCAGATGTGTCATGCTGTTTTATCAGTGATCAGGGAAGCAGAAGACGGCAATCAATTAAAAAGCCATATTTCCTACAGATCAACAGGTTATGACTGAAAGTTGAAAGAAGTCTTTCTGCTTCCATGGGACTTCGTTTATCAACTTAAGTGAGTTTCCCCAGGTTGGTGCCCTCAAGCTGTGTTGGAGTTCAATTCATATAATTCCTGGTCAGAAAAGTAATGGCTGGAATGTTTGATTTTTTCCCCTAACCTCAGAGGAAAATCACTCAAATCTTCAACAATACTACCAATATTCAAATCAAGTCAAGACTATTCTGGTTTGAGTCTATCAAGAGGAAGTATTTTGGTTAAGGATCCCTTTGGATGAAGATTCAATACTTCATGGGCTACCAATCAGGTCTGGGCCAAGTCTTTCCCCTAGGGAAAAAAATACAAGTCTTTACATACTTTCAGGTTCTCCATCAGTAGATTTACCTCCATTGGGCAATGACAGCACTAATGGACTGTCTGTAAACGCATGAACAGGGCATCCATTGTGGTTTCGTGGCGTTTCTCTGGCATTATAAGGTGGAGGAGGTGTATCAGCTAGAAAAAAGAAAACAATACTGGGCTTGGCATTTCATGACCTGCCTATATAAATAAAAACAAATGGCCTCAGAGACCAAAGCATAGATATGTACAAAGCAAATTGTATTGCATTAGATCAGATGCTTACAAATAACTTCATTTAACATGCACATAAAGCCCAAAGAGTCCAAATTCTCTATTTTAACTTCCAAGAACACTGGTATATTAATGTTTCTCTTGACTGTCTGAATAAATCTATTTAATTTATACACAGATTTTATAACAGGAGCTCAGGACAGCATACATACTATTTTTTCCTACTACAAAAAAAAATCCTGTGAGATATACTGGGCTGAGTGAGTGGCCCAAAATCAACCAGGGAGCTTCTGTGACGAAGAGAACTAGAACTCCAGTCTCCTCACTCCTAGTTTAACACCTTAACTACTACACCACACTGGGTCTCTTTGGTAATCTTTGGTATAATGATTTCTTATTACTGCTGGTTTTTCTACTCTTTTTCTGTGGTTGCAGTCTTTAGAGCTGGTTGAGCTATAAAAACTGTAAAATAAATAAATAAATATGCCACTCTTCAACACAAATTCTCAGAGTAATACAGGTACTACCAGAATTATATGAACTTGTAAAAACTATATAGCTCTGAAAGTTGATTTTTGCAGTTTAATTATGCAGTTTCCTAAAGAGAAGTTACTGTAGAGTCAGCAGCACTAAACAAGTGTCCAGGAATAATATTTTGCATACCTGTGAGCTCATAAGGACTTCCTGGTGCAGAAGAACTTCCTGGGGAGTCTGGGTAGCTCGGTGACTGAGAATACATATTGGGGGATACTGGGAAAGGGGTGCAAGGAGGCTGCTGGAAAGAATCAGGGTAAGTTGCATTGTGAGGCATCAGTGGCTCACTATGAAGAGATGTGTTCCGGAATTTGGCAAGGAGGCTAAGATGTGGGTTGAATTCACTATGTCTTGGAACCAATACTGGAGGTAACACTATAACAAAAGAACAGAATAGATGTTTTGAAAGTAGGTAAGAAACTCTTCAGAGTCTCAGGCAAAAGTATCTCATTACCCATCTCTTGAACTTTCAAACAGACATTACAGAGACTAGGATATGGTGCTTTAGCTCTAAGCTATAGCCTCGCTAAAACTACAAACTATGTATTTTCCAAGATCTGGCACATCTGTCACATTATCCAATATAGTCCATCTTAGGCTACCTCTGGATTGCCTGGTCATAAGCAGGTAAACTGAAATAGTGGTTCATTTATTTGGAACCTCAAGTCTGGACTACTCTAATATACTGTTCGTGGCACTACTTTAAAGGTGAAAACTGCAGTAAGTACAAAAGTCCATAGCTAAGTTTCTTAAAAGATAAATTACCACCAATATATGATGGTTCTGAAGACACTTCATGGCTGCCACACTACTTCTGAGCAAAATTCAAGGTATTGGTACTGAGTTATGATTTTGTGAGCCTGTCCAATAAAGATCTTCTGGGGAAGCTCTCATGAGGTTGCCATAGCTGGTTGTCATATCTGAGTGTCATATGGGGTACCACATGTAGTGAACCAAGAGAAGGCATTAAAGGAAACCAACAATGGATTCCTTCCCTGTTCCATTACAATTAGTCCTGGACTTTGTTAACTTTCTAGATGGCTTAAGATGTATTAATTCACCCAAGCTTTTGGTTAGCTTGGGGCTGCTATGCTATGTCTTCTGTTCTGCTTTCAAATTATTATCTGGTATATTTTTAAATGGTTTATGGTTTTAAATTTTTGCTGGTTTTGGAAGGTTGCATTTGAATTATTTATTTTTTAAACATATATTTTTAAAAGTAATTTTTAAAAGTAAGCTGGGTGTGGGTTGGCTTTAAATGAGCTGTATCTGTGTTTGGGGATTATTTTTAACAATGAAAATGTGGGATAACAGTTTTATAAATATTTTTTTTAAAAAATTCCCTCTACATATTAGAAATTCTGCAAATAGAAACTCTGAAAATCCATGTCTCCTGTTCCCCACATTCCAGGTTTCTCACCATTTCTACTATCGTCACTGCATTTCACCACTCTGTCAGATGGTTAGACAGGTAATCTATGTGGGATGAAGTTGTCTAGCCTGCCACTCTTCATCATCACAGATTGGTGGTTTCCTTAAGAGTGGAGGCCTGATCACCAGTGCCTCAGAGTCACTCAAGTTAGAATCACTTTCAGACTGCAAGCAAGGAGATAAACCTCTTCAACCAGCTTACTGTATTTTAGCTCATGAGATTAAAAAGAGACAATTTTTTTCCCGTCTATAATATATAAAATAATTTAAGGATGACTACCATAGAATCTAGCCATGTGTTATACAGATTAGAAGGTGTCTTTGCCTAGTATGTGGAAAAACCATGTAAATATAATTTTATAAAGCTATTCTGTTGGATGCTGCAAAGGATTTATGGCATGACTGAAGGGAGATATTGGTAGAGAACATTTATGTTGGAATGCAAAAAGCTAAAAGGTTTTGGAATTTGTCACCAAAACAGTATTAAGATATTTTACACCAAATGATCCTAGGGTTTGTTTGTTGTTGAATTATACAGACAGTCCCTTACTTACCAACAGGTTACGTTCCAAAAGGCTGTTCATAAGTCTGTTTTGTTCATACTGTAAGTCCAACCAAGTAAAAAATACTATAAAAAGTAAAAAAAAAAAAAAAGAGGAGGAAGCAGGAGACAGGGCAGCGGTGTGGGCAGAAGAGCCATCTTCTGCTGCCAATGCAAGGAGCAATAGCACACAAGCTGTGGAGAGCGCAGTGAGATGAGCTGGTGGGGCACAGTGTGCTCCATTGCCAGGTGAGGCAGGATGGCGATGAAATGCACCATGCCCCACCAGCTTGTCCCTTCACCCAGGGAACCACCTCTCCTGCCTCACCCAGTAAACTAACCCTTTCCAAGAACTCCAACTCCAACGCAAACCTCCAACCTCCCAGAAGGTGGGAGAAAGTGGGAAAGGGTTAGTTTGTGGTGCACCTGAAACTAACCCTTTCCTGCCTTCTCCCGACTTCCGGGTCCATCTTGTTCATATCAGTGAAAGTTTGCAACTCGAAAGTTCGTAAGTAGGGGACTGTCTGTATGGAGAACTATGAAGTGAGATACAGGAGATAATCCCACACTATGCAAAGGTACTGCATGTAGCTTTCCTGGCTGGGGCAGCTGGCAAGATAATCTGTCAACATCCAGAGAGACAAATGTTCCCCTCTCTCCTGCTCTAGTGGGATTGCAACAAAACTGTGTAATAGACTTCTTTCTTTCCCTCCCTATCATTATAAGTTACACATTTGACCTTCACTGATATTGCATGATTTAAGATGTTCTTTCATTATCTTAATCATCAATAATTAGTCAAAGAAATTGTCTGTGTAAATATTTACAATGCAATATTCCTGCTCAGGAATTGAGATTAGCTTTCAGAAAGATGATATTTGACATGCATGAATAATTTTTGGGAAGACTGAGTAAGGATTGCAAGAAAATAGGAATAAAGATTTTTAAAATCCCTTAAAATAGGCTGGATACTCAAAAGATCCAATGTTAATAATAATAATTCAAACACTGGCATTAGAATACACCTTTTGCTCAGGTTGGTAGATCTCATATAACTTGTTAGAGCACCTCTGAATAGCAGCTAAACATGAGGAGATAGATAGATAGATGATGTAATTTGGGCAAATGATGACAAGGTAAAAAGTTAAAGAAATCTGCAGGGACTCGTCCAGGCAATCACCTGGAGTCAAGAATGACTTGAAAGTACACACATACACACACACACACACACAC